ACTACCTGCTACCTGCTACCTACCACCTACCACCTACCACCTACCACCTACCACCTACCACCTACCACTACTACTACTACTACTACTACTACTACTACTACTACTATTACTACTACTACGACGACTACGACGACGACGACTACTACTACTACTACTACTACTACTACTACCACTGCTACCACTGCTACCACTGCTACTACTACTACTACTACTACTACTACTACCACCGCCACTGCCACAAAGTCGGGCTGTGCTCTGAGGAACGCCGTGCCCATGGTTCTGCACCTGTCAGGGCTCGCAATGCACCGTGGCAGCGTTGATGATGAGGATACTTGCAGACCGCTTGATCTCAGAGAACAGCGGACAAATATCGACATCCGAGAGATCAACTTTCAGGGCGGGGCGGCTCTGAGGCCGAGATCGTGGGAGGGCACGATGCAGCAGGATGATTTGGAAACGCCCCGTTACAAAAGAGAGGATAAGATTGTGCTCTTGCAGGGCTCTTTTGATGCAACAGTCTTCGGGTTCGAGAAGCAGACCATCGCATTCTTGCCGGAGGACGTCCGCCCATGGCGGACAGTCCGCTGCCTGGCGACATTGCCACTTGGAAGCACGGTTGGAAGCATTCTCGGAAACTTCAAACTGCTAGAGGTGTCTGTCACTCAAAGGTCTTGAGCATGGACTAGGCCTAGGCTCTCATGAAGCCCCTAGGCTGAAGAGGCGGCCCAACCAAAATGGAGAGCAAGACATCGCTTCCGAGCTCATGGCAGATGAGTCCTTGGCAGTGACTATTCACACAAACGGACACATCTGCGTCGAAGGAGGCAACATTCACTCCTTGGATAAAAAAGGCCGCATGCGAGTTGTGCCGCAGAAAAAGCGTGGCTGGCTTTACTTGGATGGTGTTCGTTTCATCCTTGCCAAAGGCGATCCAATCCAGGTTTCTACCGCCCTGGCAGAAGAGAAAGAGCGGAAAGTTTCTACACTTTTCGCTGATGATGATGAAGATGCAGTTTCCTACAGGCAAGGCAGTATCGTGTGTCTTGAGGGGATTTTGCACTGGCCCACCACAAAAGGCACACCACACGTACGCAGAGCCCTTGGCTTTCTTCCTAAAGGCCACTGGCCAGAGCGGCGCGAGGTCTTCTTCACGCGTGGCCATACATTCGAGGAGGAGGAGCGATGCAGGGTCGACATTGACCGCTACGGCCGCGTGTTCTGCCCAGAAGGTGGGGCCGAAAATGGCAGAGTGAATCTGAGTGGAATCATCTTCAAAGCTGCAGATCCAGACACTACGCCGGCAACAAGCCCACAGTCCCAAGATTGGGATGAGCTCTCAATTCAATATTGCAGTGCGAAACAAGATGCTGACCACGGCTACAAGCTGCTGGAAGCTTTCATCCAGACCTGCACGAAGAAGGAATGGGCCTACATCGAGCACGCGATCTCGCAGCAGGTCACGGGACGCAAGCTTCAAACTCCATGGGGCCAGGGAATCGCGCCAAGGGGCGTTCAAAGGATCAACGAGCATGACCTCGATGAGGATATGAGGTTTCTCTGGGATAAGAAGATCCGCAAGGTCGTGGATGATAAGCTGGGCATCAAGAGCCCGCATATGCTGTTCCAGCTCTCCTTGCCAAAGCTGCAGCTGGTTTGTGATCTTTTGCGCAAGGAGCAAGTGGGTTTGAAAGAGAGGGAGCTGGCCAACCTCAAGAACATGCACGAACGGCTGTCGGAAGGCTGGGAAATCTCAAAGCACGGCGATCTCCACTTTAAGCTCCTGAGAGCCCCCCGGCTGTCAGTGTGCCTCAAAATATCTTGTTTCTGGCATTCTTGTACACTGTTCACGATGTGGATAGTATAGTGTTGCAGCCTCCTTCACTATGATGGCTACACACATGTCGCATCTTGGGAACGAAATTATCGCGGTCACTACATCTCCAAGGACAAGCAATCCCTCTGGAGCAAACAGCTTCCATCCTGCCTGTAGACAACCATGAACTGTTTGGAAAGGTTGAATGCTGAGCCGACTCCTCGTGAGAGCAAGTCCAGAAACAGACCCTCTCTTCGAGAACTCGCATGACCAAATCGATCTCTGTAGCTGGTGCACAGTTTTTGCTGTTTAGCTGTGGATCGCGCTTAAGCTCCCAACTACCATTTAGCTCAAATGAAATGAGTGCACTCCCTATCTTATCAATATGGAGGTGTAGGAAATGTCTGGCATTCGAACCAACAAGAGCATGCCCGTACTAATGTCGAGGGACTGTGTGCTTGATGCCTATTTACGAGATACGAGAGGAGAAGGCTATCTAACGGACCTACACCCACACCACACTGCTGCCGGTGAACTTATCTTGTCCCTCTGGAGGTGAGCTTTCGGTTTTGTGAATCCTGCCTTGTCAACACAATTCGTGCTGCAATGTATTATCTGCCTGCTAAGGACACGGCGGTGGAGATTGTCGATCAAATGGTCACGAGGTGGGATTTTGACGCGCAGATTGGCGGGTTGCTGACCAACGACTTCCGGGCACCTGAATCGATCCTTGGGGACTGAGTACCGTAGGTAAACTTTACATTGTCAGACTTTGTAGCGTTTAGTTCAGCCGTACAGGATTGGTGGGTAATTAGGTCCGACCCCCCGCAGAGCAGACTTTGATCTTTCTTTGCCAGTTCCGCGGGTACGTAAGGATCAGACATTTGTATCCAGAGCGCTTGCGTGGGGATGTTGCGAAGAAGGTTCATGCGATGAGCAATGACGACAAGACGAAGTATGAGGAGATCTATCAGTTTTTTAGAAACTTCGAGACGAACGGAAACACGATGACCCACTGTAGCCTCATGGGCACGGGTGATACCTTCACTGCTACGGGCAAGTGGCATTTCCCTGACACCACAAGTGTGCAGAAGCAGCTGTTTGAAAGCATTGCATGGCTCTTCGAAAGAGACATCCACCACTACATCTCCGAACGCCAGACACCGGTGTTTCCATTCATTGAGGATTTCGACATTGAGGCCACCGGATTTAGCATGATTAACAAAGCTGTGCTATCTTCGCCCGTCTCCGGTTGTGCATGCTGGGAAGGTTGGCCCCAACCTAGCTTCCTAAAGCCGGGCCAGCACTTCGAACAGCGTGCTTGTCCAAAGGCACCTAGAGCCCTAAAGCGCAGCAACACGGGTGTTTAAGGCTCCAAGCCTACAGTGCCAGGCAAGTGATGGCTACTGCGAGAAAGACCCTAAGACTGGTCACTCACCTCCTCCGGACGACGACATCATGTACAAACCAGGGAGCTTCAGCTGCCAAAAGCTTCGAAAGGCTTCGCTTTGGGGAGTAAAGGCAGGGTGTGGCGGAGGGCTTGGATTCGAAATTCGACTTCAAGTGCCAGACGTCAGACTGAATTCTCAAGCCCGAGGAAGAACAACGGAGACCCCGGGGAGCTCATACGCTGGCGTGCCAAGGCCATTCATCACTTGCTCCTTCGCTCCAAACCCTTAGCTTTGACCAAAAGCGTCTGCTAGAATCTATCTATTTTTGATGGAGTGCCCTGAAAGTGGCGCTAACGCACGCACGATCTTAGACCTGCACAGTACTGGCAAGTTCAGGTAGAACGCGGAGGGGTGGGTTGAGATGTTCAAGTGCTTGATTGTCCAACCTCGTCGATCTAAAGATTGTCAGCAAGTCTGTCCTGCCACCACTACTACTGCTGCGGTTGCTGTTGCTGCTACTACTACTAATACTACTACTACTACTACTACTACTACGACTTCGACTACGACTACGACTACGACTACGACTACGACGACAACCACGACGAGGACTCCCAATACTTCGGCTGCTGCTGCTGCTGCTGCTCCTCCTCCTCCTCCTCCTCCTCCTACTACTACTACTACTACTACTACCTCTACTATATCTGCTTCCATTGCTACAGCTTATTGCCTACTGCTTACTGCCACTTTGCTTCTAGTGCTCCTGCTCCTGCCGCTGCCGCTAGACTGGTACGCGGACTGGGACTGGGTCTGGGGCTGGTGCTGGTAGTGTTACTGGTACTGGCACTCTTTCGACTACCACGAACTACTACTGCCCCCACCCAGGTTGCCCGAACTGGAATTTCGTCTTCTTCTACTGCTACTGCTACTATACCAGTACTACTACGACGGCGACGACTACTACTACTGCCACTGCTGCAGCTAGTGCTGCTGCTGACCACCAGATGCTCCAAGAGCGCATGCACATGAGCCATATGAAGAGTTTTACCAGTCATGCTTGCTATGACAACCACTCTGGTTAAGAACACTCCGAGCGTCAAGATTGGAGACAGTGTTCATCACAGGAAAATTCTCAGCCTTGTTTGGCATGACGTGAGTCATTGTCACGCATCGTCACTGGCATTGCTAATGGCATGCTTTTCAGCATGATTACCATCATCCGTGCCGCCATTCTCATCTTTGGGCTAGGGCTGGTGCTGGTCCCGGTGGTGCTCCTGGTCTTGGCAGTCGTCGTGCTTGTCGCGGTCGTGGTCGTCGTCGGCGTCAAAACCACGTCGTCTTGGTAAGGTTAGCGTGGTCGCGCTCACAATGCTTCAATTTCAGACTAATTGCGCACCTGCCATATTTGGACAGTCGCATTGCTTGACATGTCATTGTCGAAACAGTGTGTTTGAGAAAAGGTTCCATGATCCCCGAACCCGCCTGGACCCTCCCCTGAATAACCATACTTCTGTTGAACTGTTGGGATCCTATATGTCTTGATGGAACCCTAGGGCTCCAGTTACCTGAATAATGGGTTAATGGGCTTCATATTATATGGCTGGTAACCTACTATATAACTATATGGGTACCTGGAGCCCTAGGGGAACAGACATCGAGGTTCCCGCAGCTGGCTCAGTTGCGATGCTTGGTCTACTCGGCATCAGGCAGGGTTTGTTTCAGTGAAAAGTGAAGATCTCGGGAAGCGGAGTATGGAAGCAGCATGTCAGGCTACAACAAGGGCAAGGAGCGGATAAAGACGTCTTTCCATTTGGTCTGGCCCGAACTGATCGTTGAGCCAGGCACGGCCGGGCTTTTACGTGAAGTGACTTTGGAGCTCTTTGACGAAGAGACGCACAAAGAAGGATCATTTCTGCAAAAGCTGCGCAAAAAACTGATGGGTTTCTACCAGTCAAACGATTGGTTTAATGTCTTCGACAAGACGACAATCAGTGCCACGAATGGTCTGCGACTCCCATATAACGACAAAGTTTCGTCCGTTTACCGAGCCTCGGCATTCGTTTGATAAAGTGTCGCTCGGGGCGGGATCGAGAAGAACTGCACCATGCACAGATTCCCAAAATGTCGTGGTGGGATGTGCTGATGTCCCGGACGGAACACAGCAACACACCTTTGAGTAGCAGGAGATACAGAGGGATGGCTCAACCGTTTGAGCATTGTGATGCACCCTTAAGGAAACGAGGAGGACAAGCTGAAGGTTGAGAATGGAGAAATGGCGAAAGGCAAGGCACCCAAGAAGCGCGTCAAAGAAAACCGCTATTCAAAGGCGGTCGGAGAGCTGTTGTTCACCTTCGAAGCGGATGTGGCAACCGGCGGTCAGGCTGGGAGTCGCAGAGAAGCGAGGCACCTAGAAATGTACACTCGGAACCCTAGTATAGACTAGCACTCTGAAGGAAGTTAAAGTCCCACAGAACTCCTGAAAAACATGGTTCAGGAAGACAAGATCGTTTCTGCGAAGTGGCAGAACACTGACAGCAGAACTATTGCTCAGTGGATTCAGATGGGATCCTGCCGCCTGGACATGTCCGACCCAGAGAGGACTGGCTTCTTTTGCTTACACTGTGGAGAGGCGAAACTAAGAAACTGAACTCGGTTATTACTTTAGAGGTTCTTCGAGCGAAAGCTCCGAGAAGTCGTTGGATGTCTTCAGCTCCTTTATTCCATCCTGATGCATGTGACGAAATCCTTTGAAATCCTTATTTGAGTCGAGCCCGACTCGAACTTAGTCAAGGAGTTGTTCCTTAGGATCACCGGACATCAGCCCTCGCATCCAGAAAGAACAGGATCCTACAACTTTTAGAAGACTACTCCGTGATTGAAAGGACGCGGCCGACGCAAGTATGTCCCACCAGAGAGGGCAAGCGCCTCCTTCGTAAACTGAAGAGGAAACGCGAGAGCGACTCGTCTGAAAGAGAGCCGTTTACTGCGCCTTGATGTTTAAGAAGCGTCTAGGGTGAAAGGGCCTAACTAACCGGGCCTAACCAGTACAAGTATTATGGATTTTACCGCCGAGTCTGCTTTAAAGGTATGATATACCCACATGCCCCAAGAGCCCGGCCTTACAGCTGGACTCTGTGCGCGCGGAGCTACCCGGGTTTTGGCAAGATGCGGAGGTTGACGTGACCTGGAGCCTTATACATAATATGGTAGCACAGAGGAGGCCCAGAATGACGCAAGCTAAACCTCGGCCCCCAAGTCCGTGAGAAGATATCTCGTCGTTTCGATTCTGAGGTGATGGAATCGATTTCGAACTGGAGTTAAGTTCGGATGAGGAGGGTTACGCACTGAAGATCCCTCATCCAAACGTCACTCGACCTGCCTTGGCGTACAGTTTTTGGGGGTAGTTTTCTAGGCCAGGCACATCGACGATAATTCGCAGAGTCTGACTCCCAGGTACGGCGGTGCAAGCTCCCGACCCTCGAGTTCGCAAAACTGTTTGACGAGCAACTGGGGGGCGAGGTGGGTGGTTGTCAAGAATGATGGTCCCTTTTTGCGTCCTTATTATAATACGGCACCTATTATTTCGGGTACCCCAAAAAATGACCATCATTTTGACAACTACCCAGGTGGACGACTTGGAGCTGGACCAAGAGGATGGCAACAAGGAGCTTGCCAAGATGCTCAAAGGATCGTGGATCAGTGTTACTCAGGGGCTGAGTAGGTAACCTTTAACATTTTGGGCCTTATATAGGATAGGTTACCTTTAACCTTTTGGGCCTTATATAATCCTATTATAATTCAAAAGGTTAACCTTTTTTGGGCTAGGGTACTCAGCCCCTAAGGTTACCCCGGATCAAGCACTGTGGAGAGGGCCTGCCAGTGAGCAAAGCAAGGCCAAGTGTCTTGGCTGGATGCCAAGTTGGAGCCTCAAGCGTGGAAGGCACGCTTCAGAGCCTTCGATGAGCAGACCCCTTGAACTGGTTTACCTTCGGAGGTTTAACAACCAGGATGTGGGAAAGATTTTCGTGGATGGCCCGACAAGGACGAAGCAGTTCATTATAGACATCTTGAGAGGGTGTGGTCCGGATATTACGAAGGATGATGTTGCGGTGGTCCCGCGCTACGACCCCACAAAGTCCAGGTGGATCAACAGATGATTGTGTTGACCCGGCCCCTGACGATAAAGAGGATGAAGACGCACGGACGAAGATTGTGGACTCTGCATAGGTTTGATCTTCGGAAGTCCTCAGATCATGTGTCTTTAAAGCCATGCCCGGCGCCTGCCCGGCTGGAGGTGTGACCTCCCATCCTGTTACATCCAGGATGCGGGTAGGCTTCATCCAGTGATGCACCGGATGGAGGATGCAGAGCTGTGCGCCCTGCAAAAGATCAGAAGCTCTATCTGCGCATGTGCAGCAGGATTTTGAGCCTCGAGGCCAAAACCGAGACTCCTTTGAAGCTCGTACTCGCAGAAGTTGACTAGACCCTAACCTCCAAACTCTGTTTGTAATGCTAGACCGACAAGCAGCACGAACACCGCATACCTCTAAACTGGAGATCGAAGCCATTCATGCTGGCGGGCTCTGCTTCTGCAGGAATCGACAGATTCGAGCAGCTCCCAGCTGAAAGAACAGCTCAAGGCCTCCAATTCTGTTCATGAATACTGGTGCCTTGTCATCATTCTGGTGTTGCCTGGCAGGAGCACGCATATCGATCGGCACAAGTCCCAATATCGAACTATGCATTTTTGCTGCCAAGGTTTGGATCACTAGTGGTACTCTGCGTACTATTTGTTTTCCCGTTTGGTCCTTGGGCCGCTTCCGGATATTGAGTCCCGACTGCCCAATCTTGCGAGGAACTGAAGCGCGATGCGGAAGCACAGCAGCAAGAGATGGAAAAAGAAAGGGAGCAGTCCTCCAGGCCATGCCGTCATGCAACCTAAACCCTAAACCCAATGTTGTTCGCAGGCTTGCCAAAGACCTGCAAGCCCAGCTGGCTGCAGTTTCAGAGGGTGCGAAAGAGAAGCCGAAGGCTGACGAGCTCTCCAGGCCCTCTGGGGGGCCAGGGTGGGGAGGGGGGGTAGCTTATAAAGTTCGGGCGTGCTCCTATGATAATGTGGGGCGTCCCTTTCAGGGTAGGTTTTCTTCTTTCCGAAAGTCGCACTTCTGCTGCAATTGTGGTTGTTATGGTTTTGTCTCACTTGGTTCTACCTTCGTTATGCGAACCCCCACACCACTTGCCCTTGATGAGATCCCTCAACTAAGGAAGCGCATATGAATCATATTGATGAACCCACTTTTCCCGAAGGAATCTTCAGTAATTCAGGGACCATGATCGGGGTGCTTGAGTTTTCTGGCTAGTGCGGCTCAGAGACCATACTGCAGGTCCGAAGACCTCCCAGAAGGGGAGAAGGTGCAGCAGCGGCTCGAGTTGGCTTTGCTTTCTGGGTGCAGAGCTTTGGGGGGCTGGATTTGGAGTTTGGGGTTGGGGTGTTGTTGGTTTCTCGCTGAAGGGTTTAGTTGTAGTTTGCCTTTGAGGGTTGGATGATCTCAGCTCGGCCGGCCGGAGTAAGCTGCAGCTCCTGAACTGTTCCTTGCTATTCACGCCATCCTGGACCTAATGACCTTGACTCAGACAGTTTCGGGTTAGGGGTTCTGCCTGGGCTTGGGGCTTTTGGTGCAAACAGAGCTAGTACTATGATTTTAGTATCTCGCTTGGTAGGGCAAGTTGTGGCTCTTCGGGTCGTCGGGCACTGTGTCCAAGCCTGGTCTCAGCTTTTCGGATTCATTTGCCAGGTTTGGGATGGGGGATGGTAAGGCTGCTGCCAGACGAGATAGGAGCTTGTGCACTGGCGGTTTCTGGGAGAGTTTAAACAGCGAATCTCGGTTTGGGGCTTGAGCGCAAGGTTGTGGGGCTGCGGGGCTAAGGATTTTTCACTTGTAGACGGTTAATTGATCTTAGGGGGTTCTGGGTATTTGCTGCAGAGCAAAGCCAGAAGTATGGCCTTCCAAAATGGGTTTCAGTCGTGTTTCAACTTCATGAGGAATAAAAGAAAAGACCTTCGGCCCCGAAGGAACACACCCTCGTTTGATTCTGCAGGAATCTGGGGCGTCCAGCGCAGAGCTCCAGAAGCAGCTGGAGGCCACTATGAAATCTTAGAGGTGATTGCAACTGGCGGCCTGGACTGTTGCCTGCCGCCCCCGCCGCGCCTTCAGGAACTGAAGCAGACTGCCGAAGCACAACGGCAAGAGATCGAGAAACAAAAGCAGGAGTCATCCAGGCCATTTGAGCACACTGGCAGCGCGGGTCGTGGTCCCTGTTGCTATCCGACGCCCCTCAGGTGTATACAAGATCTACAAGCACAGCTGGCTTCATATGCAGAGAGTGCCAAGGAGAAGCAGAAGGCTGATGAGGAAACCTCCAGGCACACCGCTGCACTTGCAGTTTCTTTGTATTCCTGAATTAGCTTCGGGTATCTTGCAGATTTTTGGAGCCGTCATGTCCCCTGACCCGACTGACGTTGAAGACATCCTTCACATGCTTGCCCGCTGCCATCATGTGATGGCACTGCTTGTTTCAGAGGCGTAAGCCCTCAATGAGGCCGATAATCTCGAGTCTGTGCTGCACGCCGAGTTCCCTGCAGGACCAAAGACGTCACGGAAGCGGAGAAGGTGAAGCAGCGGTTCTAGTTGGTTTTGATATGTTTTGATGTCGGGGTGTAGGTCGTCCAAGTCCACGGGCATGGGTTTTCCTGTTGTTTTCCCGCCAAGTCTCGATCGCCCCTCGCTATGACTCCACACTCGACCCAAACCGGTTGTTCTTCACATCGTGCCACGCCTTGTCCATGCTGCGTTGCAGCTAAGTTTCCGATTGCCAGATTTGGGATGCACAGAGATCTCCGAGAGTGTTTAGCGGATCTGGGGCTCTTGGT